TGGAAAATTGTCCTTAGAAAAAAGGTATGGAAACTGTGACCTTGTAAAAAGCGATGTGTAAACTTTAGATTAGTATTTCTCAATTTTGAATACTTTCTGATTAGCTCAATAATTTCGCAACGAACTTGTTTAATAAATTTGACTTCGGAGGGCGAAAAGGTGTATTGTATATTTATATTGTTAATTTATGAAAAATACTTATTCGTTATTCTTTGTCAAATTTAAGATTTATTTGAAAAAGTAAATATTTAGATTTAATGCGGTAATTAAATTTTCGAAAAATTGGCGCAAATATATTTGTGTAAGTTAGCTTCTTGTTCCGATTAAACTTTTCTTCTTTACCAAATCCATTTTAGTTAATTTATAAATTTATAATTTGTTGACACATTAATGCAATCTTCGGTTGTCCTCCTTGATTAAATAAAAGAGTAAGATGCTAGTGAGTGAACAGAAACGCCGATAAATCACGAAGCTTATTTCATTTTTTCAATAATGAAAATTTTTAGATATCATATCTTTAATTTGATTCGATACTGTAATTCTCTATTTTATCCATTTCTTCTCATCAGATATAAATAAAGATTATTTTATTTTTTAAAACAACACTAACAAATTTGCGAGTGGCGCGGCATTCATATTTTCTGAAACAGACATGTTGTATATTTATCATGTGGATTAAATAGGACTTATTTTATTTCTTATTAATTATTTTATATAAATACTCTGTAACTTTGCCTTAGAAAATGGCAGAGCCGTTACAAATCTCTAATAAAACAATAACTTTTATCTCTTAAACTTAAAACTTTGCTCATTTATAATTCATTCTTCTTTAATATGATATCAATATAATTAATAGTTTCGCCTATTTTACGGAGTTTAGATTATATTTCGGATCGTTCAAGGTTTAGGCAGAAACATTAAATTCGGTCGTATTTAATTATATTTAGATTATAAACAAATAAATAAAGAATTTTACAACCATGATTCTCTTTCCATATCTACTGGAAAATTGTTGAAAAGTCATTAGCGGGTCTTTCAAAATAATATTTATCATAATATGATATTTTATAATTTTAACAAAGTTTTTCATATTAAAATATTTCCATTGTTTATCATTTAATTTACGTTCGTTGATGTATGCGATAGACTTTCTAATCTGTGTTATATCGTTTTTTAAATGAAATAAATTTATTAAAACATAATTTTAAATACTAGGGATGTTAAACGGTCCTAAACGGTCCTAAAAGTCCCAATAAATTTGCCAGTTCTAGAGAATATTTTTATTTTATTATATTTTACTTTCTAATGATAATTTGTTAATTGAATATAAATTAAAAATATATATTAACTTATGCGGGAACCCAGAATCTTAATTTTTGAAACTTAGGACCGGGTCCCACCTCGGCGGTCCCATGTTAATTGTCGATTCCAAAGTTCATATTTCTTTTATAAGTTATTCATAAAATTTATTATTACAATTATTTATCAAGGGTTACTTATTATAGATAAGCGATTAGACTTTTCTATAACTCGTAATTTCAATATTTGTTTACAGTCATTTGGGACCGTTTAACATCCCTATTAAATACTATTATTTCATTTTAATAAGCTTTTTCTTAACTACATAATCTTTAGTAATTCATTTATTTTAGGGATATCAATAAAATTTGCTTAACCAAGTTTGAGACCAAACTTCATAATCAAGTTTAACATGTGTTCTAAACATGCTTCAAGCTAATTTAGCACCTTGTTGATTTGAGCTTCAATTATGCTTTAAAGAGTATATATAGTCTAATTCAAGCACGTTAATTTAAGCGCGTTTAATCAAAATAGCTTTATCAGATTTTTTTTTAATACAGTAATTTAAAATAAGCAGTAATATAATTTAGAATTATATGACCATACCACTTAACCTACAATTCATGAGATATAAACGTTTTGTATTTATAGAAAAATCGAATCCTTCCTCCTTCCCTTCCACCGTTAATTCAATAGGCCTTCTACCAGAAATTCCTGCTAACTCTTTGACTCAAAGAAGGGTAGTAGATGCAATCCAAATAGCTGAAAAAAAATTTATGAATTTAAGCAGATTTATAATATAGATTTGAACTAACTTGTTTGAGCAATCTAACCATTTATCTTATAAGTGCTTGACTTAAACAACGCTTAGACCTTAGCTTGCTTCTAACTCAAAGCAGTATTAAGCCGAACTTAGCTTGATTATTTGCATAGCACAATAAAGGAAATCCTTCATGTTTATTTATATATAATATACAGTGTCAAATTAATATTTATTGATGTCTTCGAATTTTTATATATATTTCTGCTGTAAAGTAGGATGTGGTAACTAATTTTATGACTTGAATGAAATAATATAATAAATTTTAAATAAATTTTTAGTAAAAAAAAATTACAACAAATAATTACTTATTCAATATTATTTGTTATCAGCTTTCCATTTTCTAATAACAACCATATTACAAAGTCTCATAATTTTTTTATAACTTGCATTGATGTAAAAATATTTATTATTGATCTACATTTTTTAGTATAATAAAAGAAAATTTGTAAGTTTATAAAAAAATTATGATTCCTTCATTGAAATTCGGATTAAAGTTTGATGATCTAGTGAATTTTTTATTTCCTCATTCTTGGAAAGATCGTTCAAAAGAATATCTATTGAGGATTAAAATAAATAAAATATTTCTTAAAAAAAAGTCCCGGAAAAAATCGAAAAACGCGTTACAACATCACTTATTAGGCAATCTACAAATGTTATATTGTATCGTTTCCCTCACACCAATTAAAACATGAGAAATGCCTTTATACCGCAAATAGTGATACCTCTATAATACGACATAAAATTAAATAAAGAAAAAAAATAATAATAAAAATTCTGAGAAAATAAATATTCTGGCAACATTCAAGGGAACATTAAAATTAATTTGTTTGAAAGCTCAATTCTTATTCTTTTTCAATATTACGAAGATATTTTAGCTTAAAATGATAATTTGTCAATTTTAACCTTTAAAAACATTAATAAAATAAATATAAATAAGTTATTCGGTAAACTTTTTCATCACCCAAGCTTGACGTAACACATTCTTGAGAAGATCCGAATATGTTCATCCAATACCACGTGCAGACATGCTAACTAAGCTGTCTTGATCATTTCGACCTGGCCGTTCCGGTCCCGTCATATTGGGCTTCATATTTAAGTCAAACAAAAAAAATTGTCCTCCTTGTGATATCCTGAGGCAATCTATTCGAATTGGTGCTAATGATTTTATGATTTGCCCAGCTCTTTCACATTCTTGCGTGACCTTTTGATAAAGAGGATCTTGTAATTCCGCATTGCTCAGTAATTCACTATTTTTCATCACGGCAACGACTCCACTGTAAGGAGCTATACCATCTTGATGATCAAACCGTTTTACTGGTGGTAGATGCCAATGATTATCAAATTTAGTACTTTTATAATTAATGTTATATGTACCAGGTGGCATGATGACAACCGTTATCTCCTCTCCTTCCAAATATTGTTCCAATATCAACAAATTTCCAAACTCTGAATGAAACTGTTCATCGATCACAGTTCCAGTGGAAAGAATCATCTCTGCATGCGTTCTGAGTTGCTTCATAGAATTTACCTTTTTAACTCCTTGGCTTCCTCGCCCACGTATCGGTTTAATGATAGCGGGGAAAGTGATCTTCACCTTATGTGAAACCTCCAAGGTCAGATCATTTAACCCATAAACACCATTATGGCTTGTATGTCCAATGAGAATTGAATAAGGAACGGGAAATGCATGACTCCGAATCAACTCATTCGTTACCCACTTATTATCATACCTTTGCGCTGCCTTGGGGTGTTGACCTATAACTTTAACATCATCATTTATAAGATTCAGAGGATGTTCATCAAATAATACAGTATTCGCCCAAATTGTCTTTGCTCCCTTTGCAATAGCAATGCTTATCCCTTCTTCTGTATCAGGAAAAACCCAGTCAATGTCACGCGAAGGATATGGATTATCGACTGGGATGACAATCGGGATGCCATTATATTTTAATGAGAAGGCAATATCTGCTCCGCTATCGCTATATCCTCTAGGTTTCATTGTCTTCCGTATTCCTTCAATTAATGGAGGTTGCAATGCTTGATATAATATTGCAACTGGAGTGTTATCTTTAAATACTAGATTATAAATGAAATTAAACTCGTATTTTAGCTCTAGATACTTTTTCTCGACTTCTATAATATTTTGATCGAGTATAATGCCTGTGCTTATATGACTGCCTTTACTGTTGGAATCGATTGTAGCGTGATAAATAGATTGATCCTTCAACTTATCCACTAAATTTCTGAACATCATAGGATTATCATCCTATATCCAAATTCGGCGCATTTTACGATTTCCTACAAACTCATTGCTACCATGTAAAACTCTATAGTTATCTAATATAAGGATTTGGTTCTTTTTAAGAGCGATCTTAATTTGAAAATCTGGATTCATATGGTATGGTAGTTGTGATGAAGAAATTTTATTGCCTCATGGGACCAATCCGGAACAAATACTTTTGAGTCATAACGAAAGCGTACGCGAATACTATCATCTGGCCTTCGCTCATAAACAGGAAAATTCAAAGAGGATTGTTCAGCTTGACAAAAAGAAATACATCCAGGTTTCATTAAAATCTCTGCTAATCCCGGTCTCTCTATCAATATTGAATTCAATACCTTCTTGCTATCAACAAGTATAAGTTCACCTCCTTCCATATCACTCTCAACATCTTGAAATAAAATCATTTTAGGGGAACTTGTTTTTATGCTTCCCTGCAATGTTGAAATTATTCCACTAAGAAGGGTTCCATCTGTATGCGGATAAACTACTTCTTTGGATAATCCCGAATACTCCTCCTTAATAGGTTGCCGACCAGAGTGATTTTAAATTGTTCCTAAGGCTTTAGAGACCGTAACGAAAGTTGAAATATTAGAATCCCATACTTGCAACAAAGAAATCCCCTCATTTTCTATCAGATTTTTAATTTCCAATATTTTATCATTGAGAGTGTCTGTAGATTGGAAATATATGATTGGAATTGATTCGTCCATCTTTTAAAATACAAATGATGTCTTGGAAGGAAGAAATATTGGAAAGAGAGTTACATATGTCAATCATTTTATCTATTATGATTTTTCTCATTTTTGTGCAACGTTACAACAAATTCGTCAGTTTCTCCAAAACTAACTTTAATAGTTATGTATTGTCAATCGACCCCTTTTTTAAAAAATGAACATTAATATAATATAATGTGTAACTGTAAAAATTTTTTTCTGAATTTTTTCTGCAAGGTTCAATAACTAGAGAGTAAATATGTATCTTCATATAAAGACAATTGCTTAATTTGATAAATTTGATGATAGTTATTTTAAAGTGTTTATTAAAGAAAAAACTTAATATTCTTTATCAGGGACGCACGAGTAAAAATTTACATGAGGAGGAAATTCATCGCCGCCTGAACTTTATTATCACAATATCAACAACACATGCTTTAAGTTTATTATGAGAAAAGGAGGTATAAAAGCGTGCTTCGATACGAGAAGTAGCTGCTGGAAGAGTTTATAGTAATTAAATAGGTTGCTAAAAAATGTTTTTGACCATTCTTAATAATGTATTAACAGACATTTCAGATTCAAAAACATTAATATCAAGTAATTTTAAAAATATGGATAAAATATTAAATATAAATATATTCATTAAGTATATTTACAAAAAAGGGGATTTATCTCATGTTTAATTATAAAGTACTTAATATATCAATTATATTGTATTAATCGGTTGAGTCGACTATTTTCTTTCAAGTATATGAACAAATAAAATATATTTATAATTTCGAAATAAATTATTATTACAAAATTTGATATCTGTGTGAAAAAGGTTCATATCATAAACGAACACGTAAGAAGTTTAACCTTAAGATAAATTATTTCGAGTTTCGCATTAATATATTGAATCTGCCGCTGCTAATTTCTAATTAAATTTAAATCAATAATGCAATATAAATTTCGATTACAATATTAGAAAATAACTATATATCGTTATAATTAATATTAAATCAAAACTCCAATTCAATATTTATATTATAATATCAAACATTATTAAATTTTATAATTAGTGAGTTATTATAATCGTCACGTTCCATGGTCTCTACATTTATATCTTTTATTAAATATATTTAACATTAATAAATAAATTATAAAAAGAGTAAATTATTAATAATCATATAATTTACCTAATTCCTTTCCATCATTTTTTTCCAATTTAATTTGAGACTCATCATCGTTACATTCCATGGTCTTTAGATTTATATCTTGATATTAAAAATAATTAATTTTAATAAAAAAATTATAAAAAAGAAAGTTTTTTAATAATATACCTAATTCTTTTTCAGCATTCATTTTGTAGCCCATTCTTGAAAAATCTGATAAGACTTCTTCGATAGTTGGCCTTTGCTCGGGTTCTTGATTCCAACATTTTGTATAAAGTTTTTCATAATCTTTAGGAGTATTTTCTATAGGATTTTCACGAGCTTTGTTTACAACTATATGATATCGAATTGCAATATCATGACATTCTTTAAATGGTGGACATCCACTAGAAATTTCCCACATCAACACACCATAACTATAAATATCTGAAAGTTTAATATATTGAAATTCTCGATTTATAAGGATTTGTGGTTCAATATAAGCAATTTTTCCGCAAGGTCCAATATGCATTGTGGAATTATTTTCAATTTTTGAAATACCAAAATCTGTAATTTTAGCATTGTTTTCATGAATAACAATATTTTTCGAATGCTATTTAAGAAAATAAATTTCAATAAATAAATTTCATAATAATAAGCTTTTGATAAAGAAATAAAGTAATACATACAAGATCTCTATGTAAAATACCTTCATTATGTAAGTAATATAATCCTTTTGCGACTTGGCTTGCCAATTGTATTTTATTATTCCAAGTTAAATTTTTAAAATTATTTTTAAGATAATTTTGAAGATCACCACCATCGGCATATTGCATTACAAGAAGAAGATCATTTGTATTGGGATCTAATATTATTTAAGTTAATAATTTATATTGATAAATTATAAATTATATATACAATAATTACCTTGACTAAAACCTAAGCAGGCTATAATTGAATCATAAGAAATAAGATGTGAATGAATTTTTAATTCATAAATAAAAGCATTTAACATATTATTTGTATTTATTAATCTTTTATACACAATATATTTATCAGATTTTAACCAAGTAGCTTTTATAATCTTTCCAAAACCTCCTTGATCACATTGTTCTAAATTAATAAATTCATTAAATGGTATATATCTTACTTTTCTTTCTAAAGATATATTAATAAATTCAATCATATTATTTGGATCATAATTTTGACTAATATCTTCATGTTTTCCAATACTATTTTCAAATTTATTTTCATTTTTTACTGAAGTTTGATGCCATTCAAATGCTTTTTCTAAATTTTCCTCAATTCCTATACCATTTTCATAAAAATAAGCTAATTTATATTGAGCAATTTTATAATTATTTTTTGCTGATTTTTGATACCAATAAAATGCTTTTTTTAGATTTTTTTCAATATTTATACCATTTTCATAAAAAAATCCTAACTTGTATTGTGCAATTTCATCTTCATTATCAGCTGATTCATTATACTAATGAATTGCTTTTTGTAAATTTTTATTAATCATTATTCCTTCTTCATAAAAAAATCCTAAATTATATTGTGCAAATTTATTTCCATTCATTGCTGAATATTTATACCATTTAATTGCTTCACCTATATTTTTTTTAATTCCTAAACCATATCGATAACAAATAGCTAAATTACATTGTGCAATATTATTCTTATTATTAGCTGACTTTTGATACCAATAAAATGCTTTTTCTTCATTTTTCTGAATACATATTCCTTTTTCATAAAAATATCCTAAATCATTTTGTGCATTACTATATTCTTGTTCAGCTGACTTATTATACCATTCAAATGCTTTATTAATATCTTTTTTAATTACTTTTCCATAATTATAAAAATTACCTAAAATATATTGTGCAGTTTTATTTCCATTTACTGCTGATTTTTGATACCAAAAAAATGCTTTTTCTAAATCTCTTCCAATTTCTAATCCTTTTTGATAACAATCAGCTAAATTATATTGTGCCAAATTATCATTATTTTCTGCTAATTTTTGTATTTTTTTAATATCTAGATAATCTTTAATAATATCATACAATTGTATCATATAGAGTTATTATTAGTTTAGTTTTTAAAATAAAAATATTTTATTAATATTTTATTAAATTACCTATTTCTGATTCATATAATTTAGTAACTTAAATATTTAAATGAATTGTATCATATAGAGTTATTATTAGTTTATATTTTCAAATAAAAATATTTTATTAATATTTTATTAAATTACCTATTTCTAATTCATATAATTGAGAATCTTAAATATTTAAATGAATTGAAGTTAATATTTATTTTTTATTATCGAAAAAAAAATTTAGATAATACCTTTATTATTTTCATCATTTTCAAGATATGAAGTAATAAGAAATGAATTAATAGGTCTACTTGTATATATAGCATCATCAAGAATATCTTTATCAGCTTCTTCAAATGCTTCTTTTATTTCTTTTTCATAAAATCCATAGTTTTTAGTTTTATTATTTATCTTATAATGATCAAAGGACTTATACCAAAAATCTAATATATCATACAATTCATTAGCTATAGGTCTTTGATTTGGATTCGGATTCATACATCTATAAGCTATTTTTTTATAAAATTCAGGAGTTCCTTTTCCAAATTCTGGACGAAGTCCATTACAAATATCTAAAGCTAAAGTCATGTCTAATTTTTTATCATAAAATGGAGGTCTTCCAGCTGATAATTCTGCCATAATTGCACCAAAACTGTAGATGTCTGAAGCTTTAGTATATACTTCTTTATTCAAGACTTCTGGAGCGATATAAGGTAATACTCCATAAATTTTAATATCCGAAATTTGTTTATTTGCTGGTCCTGCTAATCCAAAATCTGTAATATATGCATTAACTTTATCTTGCAGCAAGATATTTCCACTATGCAAATCCTTATGAACATATCCTAACTCGTGTAAATTTTTAAGACCACTTATATTAGCATATAATATATTAATTTTTTCTCTCCATAAAATATTGCTAAAATTATTTGAAAGGTACTCTCTCAAATTTCCATTATTTGCAATTTGTAAAATCATAATAAATTCTTTAGTTTCTGAATCTTCTGTTATTCCATAAAATTCTAATACGGTAGAAAATTTACTATACAAATCCCAATATATTTTAAGCTAGTTATTGTAATAAAAATTTAAGGAAATTAAAAAAAATTCTTAATTAACAAATAACAAAATATAATTATAATATAACGTAAATATACCTCATTAATATTATTGAATGATATATTAAATGATCCATTTAACCTTCTCAAAGCGACCTTCATAGGTGCAGAATATAATTTTTTCCAACTTCCATCATCTTGTTTTTCAAATTCTGATTTACCATCGATCCATATTGCAGAATACACTTTGGAAAATCCTCCTTGACCAATTTCTTTCATATATGTGAATCTATCAAAAGGCACCCATTCAAGAAATTTTTGATGATTATTCGTATTTGCATCATACATTGTATCTTTGATAAATTTATCAATATCAGAATTTCCACTCGTCCATCCTTCAATTATACACCAAGGATCACATTCTTTACACCATAATTTCTCTGTAAATGGTTTATCACAATAAGAACATCTATTATATTCTGAGACATTTAATTTGTTGAATTCAGATTCTACTAGGTCGCAAACTTCATTTTCATGGCTATTTACATCCATTTCATTATTTTTATTTTTTTTTAAAAAAAAAAAATTTCTATTTTAAATAAGGATATAAAAGGGGTACCAATTAAGTTATCCGTCATCAGATGGTGACACAGCATGCCCCAGAATTATAGATGTGTATACACTGGGGTGGTGTAACACATTAAAAATTAAAAGTAATAAAATATGTAGAAAATTTTCTAACTACCGCTATTATAATTGTTCATTTCTACAAAATGTAATTGAATTATATTCTACATGTAAAGTATTAACATGGAAATGATTGTGTAACGCTCGGGAAATAATTAGAAAATTAGGTCGCAGAAAATGACTGCGCCCCTTGCGAAATTGTCGTCATTCTACTTTTTATCTTTCCTTCGATTATTATAAAATATCGATTTTGTAAAATAAATCAAAATTTACATGGTAGTTGTGTTCTTTTCTATTTTTCGATAAATCCTCAATAACCATTGCATAGACTTTATTTATAGTATATGCTACGATAATCATAGACGGATCATGTAAATTACATAATCAAACCGTGGTTTCGCAAACAATCAATGCATCGAAGGTACCTACAAAAATATTTTTTGTTGTAATTCTTGAGCAAGTTTATTAGAAATTCAAAACATGTTATAATATCCTTATGAATAATTGAATGCTCTTATTCGTCTTTGGATATTAATTGTTTTTATTTGAACCATTTCTTTGTGGAAATATTGATTCAAGGTTTCATTTTAGAAATTTAATTATAAAGACTTAACATCTGCTATATTAAACTTTTGTAAAGAGTTTGACCTGAACTTAAGTTTAATCAGAATTGCCTTATTTTTCCAATTTCAAACACCAGTGAAAATAACTGACGAAGTATGATTTATGAAGCTGTTAGAATTTAGGATGGGAGGATTTAAGAATGTTGACGATAAGATTATTAGAAGAAAAAATTGATTTGAAATGGAAAGATAATTTCGGTTAAATTTCACGTTAAGTTAATCGTGTCCTGTCTTTTAAGAGCTTGCTATATTATTGGCATTGAGATACTGTATGTAAAATTTTCTGCGCTGTTATATTATCTTGCTATGTCTCCGAGTCTGGTCGTCCCGGATTATTGATCCGAATTAAAATTTGCGAGTCATGTATCAACCCGTCGGACATTTGCACGACGTGATCGTATGATACTAATTAATATAATTAGTATGTTTTACAAAAAAAAAAAAAAAAAAAAAAAAAAAAACTTTTTTTTTATTTATAGTATCGTTATGTTTCGTGAACTTTAATTTTATATAACTAAAAATGAGCGAAGCTATTGACCTTACCTCAGGAAAGGAAATTATTCGAAAAAGAAAACTTTGCGATGCGGCAAAAGTTTTTTTTGAAGAAAATGATCATCCGTTAATAAATATGCAAAACTCATCGATGTCTGTATTTCACAATTAGTTAAATATTTATATATTATTTACATTTTACTTTTTACTTTTTTACTTTAAAAAACTATTAGAAAAAAACTTGGTTTGTTGAGTATTATCATGCAATTAAAAGTTAAACGATTTATCATATTAAATAATAATTATACATTAAATTTTATTAAAATAAAGTATACTTCAGTAGAGCGAGGTTTCTAGTTAACTGATCTAATTGCAGCCAAAGTATGCTGTCTTAAAACAATCACCGTTTCGTGCATGCGTAGTTTGAAATCAGGTGGAACATAATCTTGTAAAGTTGAATTAGGATTAATTTTTCCGAGCACAAAAATCCGTATCATAATACAGAATAAAAAAACTATATGACTTCTTATACATTTTAATTAATATATTTATAAAGCAATATGACATCCCTTTGAGTAAATAAATGGGTGGTATGCTATTAAAATTGAGGTACGAGACATAGTAAATCATATGATCCGTACCTGAATTATAATAACACACCATCCAAATAATCTAAACAAATTGTGTAACATCGCTGTTTTACATCTCCATTTTTAATCTACGCGTTTGATTATAGTTCCTTTTGTACTGTTTTTTTATATTACTGTTAATTAACACCAAACCCATTTCTTTCCCACCGTAACTGCGAGAAATCTTTTTTTTTTTGGAAATTGAATTGAAAATCATCAAAAAATTCTAAAATACCTTATTTTTTTTAGATAATCAAAAAATAATCATGTGATTTATTTTTTAATGAAATAAAGATACGCCATCACTGTAGCAGGTTACTTGATCATAGCAAGGGTCAATCGAAAAATTTATTTTTATATTTGAATCAGATAATTTTGAAATATTTATTAAATTAAAATTAATGTTAGTATCTGTCATAGTAACTTTCACTGGGCATGGGTTTAAGTTTCGTAAATATTCACATTATTAAGTTGTTATAATAAAAAATTTTTTTTCGATTTCGTAAAAACAAATAGCATATTTTCTTTTTTTGCTTATTTTTGGTAAAAAAAAATATATATATACTTCATGACACTTTTATAAAAAGGTACATAAAAATTTTTTCAATTATTTTAATAAATAACTGAATGATATTACATGAAGTACCTGATTATATAAAAGATAAATAATATGCTTAAACTTTTTAATAACACTTATTAAATAATGAAGCAGCAAAAGAAGTGAGAATTCAATACAATATTAATAGTAACAACTTATGCCACATAAGAATAATGCGCTGAAGGAGTCAGTTAGGACAGGTTGAAAGAATTCGAACTGACACGAGTGTGTGAATGGTTTCCATAATAATAATTTTTCAGACACGCTAGCGTAATAGTAATTTTTTAATTCTTCTCAAATTGGTTTTAATCATTCTTTTTAATTCTTGTCTTTATTTTGGCAATTATTTCTTTTACTTGTTGAATTTCAGCTTTATTTAATCAAATGGAATGAAATATGAAATATTTCTTTTTCTTGTTATAAATCTTAGGTCAACATTTACAAAACTTGAAAATACCAAAAAAATAAATATTTAATTGGGTATTTTTTAAAATTATTTACTTTATACTATTGTTTACTGTAATTTATTTAATAATGCTAGGTTCAATACACCTCATCCAAATATCTTCAACACACTTGCAATAGATACTACGATCTGCTTTACGCTTTAGGAAATTTTATAGTCGAAAAATTACATTAATCAGTATTCATTAATAATTAATCATGTCATTATTCATTAGATTCTTAGAGTAACGACCACCCACCTTTCGAACCTGTGTGTTATTTATAAAAAATAAATCACTCCGCCACATGATTTTAAAAAAAATTTTTTTTTGTTTACATCACTTTGGCATTGTCGATTACCCTCTTAGGTTATAAAAGAGTAATTAAAAAGGTAAAATGACACGTTGAGATATGTGACACCTTAAGCTTAAGCATTAATGTTTATGCTTAATCTTGGAAGCTTTTAATAATCGCAATCTCAACTTTGGCGAAAGAAATTAAAAGTGGCTTATATAGCCATAAGTGTGTTCATCGTTTTGCTATATTAGTTTAATTGACATATTCATGTGATGAAATACTCTTTAAATCGTAAATGCATTACGAAATTTATAATTTTTGTTTCAATATTTGTACTTCAATGGTATGAAGATATAGAAAAAAAAGACTTATGCAAAACCTTCTTTATTCAAATGGTTATTCTTTTTTTTTTTTTTTTAACACAAATTTCTTTAGGTTTTGCTCATTTCCTAACCACTTAATTGAGGTAATTTATTTTCAAGGGTGGAAGATTTAATTTTAACGGAAGAAATTTATTCTTCTTTCATGTATAATTCAGAAAATAGTTAGATAAAAACCTGTTGTTAAAATTTATTTTTCAATTCTTTTGTTTTAAATAGGGTTCAATTATAGGAAAAAATATTTTTTTTTCTTCAAAAATTCATATTTTTTTTAATAGAAACGATACTGTTTTATTCGAAATGGCCTGCTTGAACTTAAATATATGAAAATGTGATGTTCCCTACAAAAATCTGTTAAAGGCATACGTGACATCATTAAAAAGAATTAATAATATAATTTCAATACAGTTTTTCTAATCTTGGTCTTTATCTTGACTCGTCTGTCACATGACATATTACCTGCGGTAGTGGGTATTGGCTAGTTTATAAATATATTCATAAAAATGTATAACTTTTTCTTAACATTCCTGATGTAATTAAATCGAGCTTATTTTTATTTTCGGATATTTTGGGGTAATATTAACGTTAATGTCGATTTTTCCTAAAAGATTTAGAAGCTTGTTACAAAACAACTCTAACAAAAAAAAAATCTGTAGCTTTTTTTTCTTTTCAAAAAAAATTTATATGTTGTAAGTATCTACTGTAGTTTTTTTAGCAATACAAAAAGTTTATAACTTGAAGCACACCTTGATCACCACCTTTGGCACTACCAGCTTTTATGAGATCAACTGATTAAGGAACTGAGGATAAGTGAGAGCATCGGTAAAGTCGATCGTAATATTTTCTGTGTATATCAAAAATAGCTTGGTTAGAATGCTTTTTTTAAATAGGTTCCTTAGTGATTAGCATTTATATACCTGAAACAGACACGAAAGTACCATCAGAAGTGGATGCGTAACTAAAAATAATTGCACCAGTCGCAGAATCGCCGAACCTGCCATTAACCTCACCATCTATACAATGTAATAAATAAAATCTATAAATTTACTATTGTCATTGTCATGTTTTTCGCAAAAAAAAAAAAGAAAAAGAAAAAGGGCTTCTCAAAATAAATTCTTTCACCTAGGTGATAACAATAAATTAAAAATCATAGGATGAAAGATATGATTTTTAGGGACACGGAATTTTCACATTTTTAGATTTTTTGCGATAAGGAAATAACCTTTTTTTTACCTAGAGGATTTTGTAAAAGAAGCTACAAGTCTAATTTTTTATGCGAAGCTTTCATTTTGTTAATTTGCATCCAGATCAATAGATTTGCCCGGATTTACCGATTGGTAAAAGATTAAGTTTAAAGAAAATCGATAATAAAACTTTACCTTTTTGTATAATTAAGAAGAGAAGTAGAAGAAAACAAATGTAAAGCAAAAAAAACGCGAAACTTCTCACTTTTTCCTTCTATTTTTTATAGATCTACAAGCTCGAAACCAAAAATTATGGATGTCTTCAAGTTCCACCATCTAGTTTAAACCTTTTTATATTTGATTTTTTCATTTGGTATTTCTGTGTTTCGCATATGGACACTTGTTATTATCTTGTCAAAGTTGGCTTATATTTTTCACAAATTTAACGAGCACATATAAAGTATGTTATAAAGTATGTTATTACAGTTACAGTATTATAAGTATTTGTGTAAAATATGACACTGCCTTTTTTTAAAATGAAACATAATTAATTAATTAAGCAACATGAATTTGCTTTGTCTATTTAATTGCCTATGCAAAAAAAAATATACTCTCGAGGTAGCTGCAACTATATATACAAATTATACTTTCTAAACTAATTAAAATAACGTAATTGCTTAATTTTTTTTGTTTAGGTTACTTTTAAAATTTGGTTATGCGTGTTTCAGTGTTTTTACAAAGGCGATCAAGATTTCTAAGCAATCTATTTCAGAATAATTAATTCATGTAATTTATAAATATTCAAATAAAACGAATTATTTACTTTTAATTTTTAATTTCGCGCGCTAAATTCTTCATTAGTTTACTTTTAAAAATTTTATGTTTAATTCCATTCGTTTTTGAAAACGGCAATAAATGAATCACCAGAAATGGATATTTCTTGAGAGTTTTATGATTTTTTTATTTAAGAAAAGTTTAGGAGGCGATCTTTTGATCTTTTCGTTATAAATTTATCTAAAAAAGTTTCGAAGGGTTAAATTTTTATTTATTAATATTATCTAAGAAAGCTTCGAAAAAGGAGATTTTTTTAAAAAATATATCAAAAAAATTCCAGCGAGACGATTTTTTAAAGTTGATTGTTACGCTTTAGTTCGTTATTGTTACAATAATTAGCTAATAGCTGTATACAGTATTAATTATAATTTTAATAAATTTATGTATTGTTAATATTAGTAATTGCTCGATATAGTTAGAGATTTACATGAGATCAGCATAGGCTGCTGGGCAAGTTGACCACGGGACTCCGGCCAATTGACCACTGGTCAAAACGACCTCTAGTCAAAATGTCCTCTGGGCAAGTAGTCATTTCAAAATTCATGTGTAAAAAGGCGGGATTAATACTTGGTTTAAAGAGTCAACCTTCAATGATATCTTTAATAGGACATAATTTTCCCGATATTCCCCCTTATTTTGATATTTTTAACGTTGTAGTAATTTCATAGTTTCGTAGGTTCGACATTTAATAAAATTAACTCCGTAAAGTAATACTGAATTATTAATTTATATTAAAGAATTTTTGCATAAATATTACATCATTAAGAATTCTTCTGTTATATTATACATTCGTTTATAAATGTAAACACTAAAGAACTGAATGCAACATTATCACAAAAGATAAATTATGGATCATCTAATTTAATTCATATATTTGTTCTCACAAATAATACATTTATCAATATATACAGTATATGCTTTTCTCAGCGAAGCTACAGTTAAGTGGATTGAAATTTATCAACAACGAATATTAATATAGATATACATTGTGTATAAGCTCGTAATATCAATAATAAATAAATGTAACGATAATAGAACAATTAAATTATTTTTATTTTAATACACACATTTACTTAGTGCTCGGGTTTCAGATAAACTCGAACTAGACATTAGTGTGCAAATAACATTTAAAAATATTCAGGTCAGCATTTACATAACCCCGACTCGGTTCCTGAATTTTACGGATATTATTAATACCGAAAATCGAATTTCGATGATATTCTACCAGGATCTTTTTTATATATTATAGGTTCATACACCGATCGATAAATTAGTCCCAATTTGATTTTAACTTATTCTAGGATTTCAACTAATAGTATTTGCTTTTGTCTGCAACTATAATAGCTCCACCAGAAAATACTCGCTCTACTAGAATAATTGTTGATTTATGGTTAAATATGATAATTATTTACCTGTAATTACATGTTAATCATCACCAAAATTACGAAGCCAAGTTATTTCAATTTTTTTTTAATTTTTTAAAATTTGAAATATAAATAAAAGAAGATATAATTTTAATTATATCTATTTTAGAAAAGACATTTAGAGAGTTTTTGCATATTTATGTATGATGGAAGATCTTTTCCTACAAAAATGTTTTTGTAAATGGTTCACTAATCAAAATTATTCATTTTCGAGTAATTTAATTTTCAGACTTGACAAGTCAAAATCTTTGCTCATTCATTATTTAATTATTTATAATTAAAGCAACGTAACGTAAAACAAAATGAAGTTTACATAACTTAAAATCTCAAATTCGATCACCCGGATTTATTAATTGTCGAAAATCCGGACCATGGTTATCCCTGTTAATTTCCGTTGGACATTTGATCCGCTAGACAAATTTAGTAATTAATTAGTCAATCAAATTGATCTAGCCAATCAGTAAGAAATTTTGTATCGCTGAAATTTATTGGCAACGTTACAGAAAACGAAATTTAATGAAATTAAATACATTTATTTGTTATGACATATTAGTTAACTTTCAGACCGTAAATTGATTCGTTTGATCATCTTTAATAACGACTATAAAAATGCAGATTTATTTTCTGAGACCTCGACAAACTTCATTCCATTTTTATTTTAGCATATAATTTAATACCTTATAATTTTGTGAATTTTTGCTGACTATTGTCTTAGATCTCCTTTTTAGTAAAAATTAATCATGAGGATCTTTATCATTACTACGATATCTCTATTAATGATGTCATTCCACACGGTAAATTCCCAAAAAAACAAACTTTCGGGTCAAGAAATTAACTCTACTCAAGCAGCATTTAAGAATATACCTTCTCAAAATTCGGTACGTGAAGTTTTATTATAAATCCTTTTAATTGTGGCATTGATAATTACATTACTAATTATGCATCTCATTTATAGATCGGTAAATTGGACAGCGAAATTGTAATTGTCACTCACTTTACAATGTATTAAATAGTATATTTTTTTATTATTATTAACATGTTCAATTTTTTGACAATTCAAGAACTCAGAAGTCGACTGTGGAAATAATAGGCACTGTCAAGCGGTAATATGATTTATTGTCCTACTTCTTATTATTATAACTATTACTAACAACTTGTTATGAATCAGGGCCAACAATGTGCTTCCAATAATACTTGTATTCCATTGGTAATTATCTTATGTTTAAAGCTTCAATATAAAATAAAATGTTAATGGTACCTTAACTAATTACTATTTTATTTTTTGAAAATTCAAGGGCGCAAAAGACTGTGGTAACTCCACTTACTGTGACGCGGTAATGGATTTATTTTCCTCATTTCTTATCGAGTATCATATCATTATTTCTAATAACTTGCTTTGAATCAGGACCGACAATGTGCTTTTAATAATAGATGCATTCCAGTGGTAGTTAACTTTATATTTCACCTTCAATGTGAATTAAAATATTATTAATATCCTTTGTTAAAATGTGTTCTATATTTTGCACATTTAAGGGTACAAACGACTGTGGAACATTCTACTGTAACGCGGTAATGATTTATTTACGGTTTTCTCATTGATTTTTTTATAACTAACAACTTGCTTCTAATCAGGGCCTACAATGTGCTTTTAATAATGCTTGCATTCCAGTGGTAATTAACATTTGTTTATACTTCAATGTAAAAATAAATATTAATGGTACCTTACTTAACTAATAACATATTTTATTTTTGAAAATTCAAGAGCGCAATCGACTGTGGTACATACTACTGTGATGCGGTAATATATTTTAATTTCATACATTTTATTAGTATCATCATTACTAACAAAACTCTTTGAATCAGGGCAAACTATGTGCTTCTGGCGATTCTTGCATGCTTTTGGTAAATAGCTTAGTTGTTTTCATCTATAATGTGAAATTAAATAATAATGTACCTTTACTAAAATGTATTCCATCCGTTGGCACCTCAAGGGTCAAATCGACTGTGGAGTTGGAATACACTGTGAAACGGTAATTTAATTTTTTTCACTTCTTATTGAATCTCATTATTACTAACAACTTGGTTTGTATCAGGGTCAACAATGCGCTTCTGAAAATAGATGCATTCCAGCGGTAATTATCTTATGTTATCAATGAGTATTAAAATATTAATGGCTCCTTTACTAACATCAAGTACATAAATGTTGTAAATTCAAGGGTGCAGTCGACTGTGGGACACACTTTTGTGATGCGGTAATATGTTTATTTTCCACTTATTTTTTTTGTGTATTTATATTATTAACAATTTGCTTTGAATCAGGGGCACCAATGTGCTTCTATTAAAAGATGCATTCCTCCGGTAATTAAAACATGTTAAATATGAATTAATATATTAATGGTATATTTACTAAAACTAGTTCTATTTTTTGTAAATTCAAGGGTGCAGTCGACTGTTTAACACATTTCTGTGCTGCGGTAATAATTTATTTTTTCACTTATTATTGGGTTTCATTATTATTAACAAAAAACTTTATATCAGAACCAACAATGTGCTTCTAATGCTACTTGCATTCCAGCGGTAACTAACTCATGATAAATATGAATTAAAATACTAATGGTACCTTTACTAATCAGATGATCTACCTTCAAAAATTCAAGGGTGGAGTCGACTGTGGTACTCACAACTGTAGACCGGTAATTTATGTTCTACTTATTAATGGGTGTCATTATATAATTATTAACAAAGTGTTTTAAATCAGGGCGAACATTGTGGTCCTGAAGATTCTTGCATTCCACCGGTAATTAATTCATGTTCAATATGAATTAATATACTAATAGTACTTTTACTAAACATATTCTGCTTATTAAAAATTCAAGGGTAAAAACTGACTGTAGAAATACTTCGAAGTGGTCCTTGTAAACTTACTAATTTGATTATATGTAACGGACAGCTTCGTTAAAATTGCTATTATTATTTTTTATTTTTTTTTATTTTGCGACACACTGTTTTGACTAAAAATTGTTAAAATTAAATAAGATACAGGTTAGAATAGATATGATTTATATTATAGAATTTTATGTAGCATTTCCAACATTACATGTTCAATTTTTTTTTATCTTTGATATTTTATATTAATCGTGTTTATTTAATAATTCATTAATTAAATAATTATAACCTTAAGGCTAATTAAAATTAATAAAGACCGTGCTTATAAAACGGTTTACAAAGTAAACACGAGAAATTATTAATCGAAACATTAGAAGGAAACAAGATGAACATACATAAATAAAATTTATCAATAATTTATTATGCTTAAAGAGTAAAATATTTAAAATAATTCGTTTTACATTTTTGTAATTTTTATTAATTATTTAGTATGTAAACATTGTAATGTTATGAAATTATTTTCTTTTTTGTTCTTTTGTTTAAGAAATTTGAATATCAGAATAAATTTTTTTTTTTATCCAATCAGAATTAAAAAATTACTTTTATCATAACGATAAGTATTTATGTAAAATAAACAATTAAAAAGAAAGTAACTCGTATTATTCAAAATGTCACATTAATATATAAATTATGAATTATGAATTTGTTGGAAAATAAATTTGAGGTGTTTAAAAATTATTGCTGCACGGAAATTCCATACATAATTTCAGGGTAATAATCTTTATTTCTATAAAAAATTCGCCGTTATTTTTTCACTTTCTATATTTTTTCACTTTACTATAAATTAAAAAAACTTATATATACAACATTTTGATGCCCAAATTATTTTTTAAAGATTCTATTATTAAATACATATAGGGAACCAGCTAGAAAATATTATCCTTTCTGCTGCCATAGGATTTATTATTAAACTGTCCATAAACTCGAAACAATGGAAAGAAATTTACTGTGACATGAAGAAGGTTCCAAAACTTTCCGAACGTTAAAAAACAACTTTCTTTAATTGACAAATATAATTTTATCATTCTCTATTCCACTCACCTTTCTAAAACAATAAATATTATTTTGTTTATAATTTTTGATATTAAAATTTTTTTTTTTACATCTCGAATTATGCTATAAATTGGTTACTCCAAAATGATTATTTCTAAAACTTCGCTTGAAAACAATATAATCATTGATTTTTTTCCCCCAGTAAATTCTCTCAAAATGCATCGTTTTCTTTCTTTCTTTTTTTCTTTTCCATTAAAAAAAAAAATTAGCTCGTAATTGCATAATTGAAATTTTTGAGGATTTACGTTCGTGCTTGCTTGTGAACCAAATATGGTCTTGTTATAAAAATTCAAAATTTAATTCTTTTCTCACTTCCTAATAATTAAAGACGATTTATCTGATAATGAAATCATAATTTGTCAAAACCCCATTAATTATTTCGCTTTGTCAAAATTATTAGTTTAGTGATATTGTTGCAAAATTATAAGTTATCTTAAAAGTAATCGTCCTATTGATATAGAAAGCTTTGAAAAAATATCAACAAAGTATGGGATTAACCTAAATTTTTTGAAATTTATACAAAATACATACGTTAAAGATAGTTTTTGAACGGATTCAGCCTTGCACCTTAAAGTGAATTCCATTCCTTGATAGCCTGTTAATGATCGATATCAACTCTGAAAAGATTTTCCACCAGAGTAAAATTATCATCGCATATATTTATAGGAATATTAACTTGTAGGTGTCACGTTATCGTAATATCATTTATTAATTTATTTTGTTAAAATATTTTTAATTCAAAACAAATCGTTATCAAATGAATAAGTTAATAAATAGTAAAAGACCTTTGTTTAGCATAATCATTTATTCCCATTACTTCATAATATTTAATCAGAAATGGCAGAAATGGCTATACTTTATTATAAACAGCATGTCTTTTATATCTAACCATCTATTATCTATTAACCAAAAAGGTAATTGCATAATTGACTAATTTTTCTGCAATCTTTGCAACAAAATTTCGAACGCTAAAGCAGCAGATAAAATCCATAAAATCCAAATAGCTGAAAAAAATATTTACGAATTTGAGCAGATTTACAATATTTCCAGTGATGCTCAGATTCGTATTGACATGTACTGTAAAATAGAAAGTTTGCGGGATGAGATGAAAGCTAATAAAAATAGAATTGACAAGTTAAAAAGAAATGTCAAATATGCCCAAAAATGCAAAGAAAAAAAATTGAATCAACTTATCGAAAACAAAGAAATTGTCCGTTATGATAAACCCGGAAAGCCACTGCTTCTTTTCAAACATCCAAATTTATACGAAAATATACATGATTGCGTAGAATTTGGATCAGATGATACAAAAAGATGGAAAGAGACTATCAAAGTTCGGACAATAGAAAATTTTGTGTAAAAATCTTGAAAAAATGTACGAAATTTACATGGCAAGGACTACATTGAAAAGTTACCTTTTCCTGTCAATCAAACTCGATTCTTGCAAAAGCACATCATTATCCAGCATGTGTCGCAGTCAATAGAGTTTCGCGTACTGAGATACGTGAACATCTTGATAGCCATTATTGCCTCGCATCAGTAAAATATGCAAAGCAATTTGCTAGCACTTTTGCCAATTTGTTGGTCGTTATCTCCCAAGATGACAATCAGACTTGAAATACCTGCAGTCAGTGTTGTTATGGGACAATGTTAGGACACTGATGGAATACTGATGAGACATTGATGGGACATTGATGGGACAGATGAGATATTTAAGACATCTATGGGATATAGTTGGGACATATAGTTGGGATATATAGCTGGGATAGCAAATGCTTGGGACATAAGAAATGTAAATCATTGCCTCCAATAGGTCGCACATTTCATACATTACAATCTGTAAATGAACCTATAACTCTAACAGACCATGATATTCCTATGGGATATAGGCAAAAACAAGTTCCATTAGTATACTTGATAATAAATCCAAAGGAATCTAACAACAAATTGCGAACAGAAAAACTGGCGATTTTTATATGTCCCTAATGGTCTCTTGATACATCTTCACTTATGCATATGCAAGACCTGAAAAGCCTTGCTTCAAATTCTCAATATGATAATATACTGAAAACGAATAGAACCATTCGACTAATATGGATTTTACTGGTAAACAAAGGACCAGACGAGAATCCCAGGCATTTGAAGAACATAAAATCCTATTATCAACTTTTTAAAAAGTTCGACTTGGATTATTTAAGTATAAGAATGCATGCTTCTAATCAATAACAAGAATTGAACAGATAAATGCTAAGTTAATCTGTTCCATTTTTAAATTTTAACCAATCATGCCAATTAAACACAATGCAGACTTTGTTTATTCTTATTAATAATGGAGGAGATAGATGATTCTTTTAAAAATGAACTAAACCTAATTGAACTAGATAATGATAACTATGAACTAATAAAAATAGTTCTTCTTGCTTTGTCTTCTAGTCATTATCTTATTTCTTGAATACATAATGTTGTTAAATCTAAACATTGGTGGTATGAAATCTTACCTTTATATGATAATATATGATATAAAAAAGTATTAAGAATGGAAAAACAACAATTTAATAGGCTAATACAAATCTTACAGCATGATATAGTATTTCAAGGCAAAGGAAATAAGCCACAAGCATCTGTTAATTTTCAATTAGCAATATTTCTTTGACGACTTGGTTCTAAAGATAATATCATATCATGAGTATTTGTTCTCGATTTGAAGTATCAGAAGGTTCTTAATTCTTTATGTTAATCATGTAATAAAACAATAAAAAATAAAAAATTAGAATTTGTTCAATAGTCTAAAGACAATAATCAAAGTGTTATTCATATAGGATTTCAAAATATTGGTGGATTTCAAAATGTTATAGGAGCTATAAATAAAACTCATTTTATTTTAACTGAGTCACTAACATAAGATCCAACAACATACTTTACAAGGAAAAAAAGATATGCAATTCAATATCAAGAAATTGTTGATTTTAAAGGAATTTTTATTAATTATGTAATAGGATGGTCACATTGTTACGTCCGATTTGTAACTTAAATAAAATTCTCAATATTAATAATGCTAAGACTAAACTCAGGGAATCACAACGAAGATTCTTAGTAAACGTCAAAGATTATTCTCAATTAAACAC